GGTTTGTGTGGAGCTCCCTCCATGCCACCTGCTGAACTATTTGACGGGAGCTTAACAGGACTTTCGACGATAGAGCTCTCCCTGCCAAGGTGTGTTGTGGTCTCATTTGCACATCGTTGGTAGAATGGTTATTAGTATAGGGGAAGATCGACCATCTTTCAGCACAAAACTGGCTTTGTGCCTCTACACATGCGGTTGACACAGACATGAGTTTGCTGCATTATTATGAGCTTGCTGCTCTTGGCTGCTCGTGTCCCCTTCTTTTGGGGGGATGCTTCTTCCGTCTGCAATAGAGGTGGCCGGCATTTTCTTTTTTCCCCCTGCTTAATGTGTTTGCTGTAGTAAAATCTCGTCACCTCCAGACAAAAAAGCTACAATCACGATAATCCTAAAGAGAACTGTAACATTATTACCAATGACCACACATTATTCAAACATCTCCAAAGTAATCAACACCGTCTATGATCCATATGTCCACTACTCTACGTGCGCAAAGAAACTTGAGAGGGGACATAAATGATGACTTCAGTATATGCTCTTGGCGACTGAATATCAATAACCTGAACTTTCGAATCCTCATCATGAACTACAATGGACCATTGAGGATTTTCATCATCGTCTTGCTCAGACAATGCTCTGAAAATATACTTGCATCTTCTGGTAAATCCAAGGAAGTTGAGGTGATCAACACCAGGGGGAATGGCGACAGTGAGGGTAAACAACTTTGTCCACGATTCTGATACCCATAACTTCAAAAGCCCCCATACCTCCCAAGAATTGCTCCCAACGGAACAAAGCGCTACCATCGACTCTTCCTGCTTCGACAACGTCAACAGAGACTCCACTTTCCAATCTCCCGGAACAGGATTGCTCGCTTCCACCATTTCGAACACTTCCTTGCTCATGTCGAACCAAAAAAACTGAGTAGCTTTTAGGAACAAGTGCCACCAGTACAAATTCCCCTCGTAAAGCTTGGGTATTCGCGAAGATGCAACTAAATGGATGGAGACATCCAATTCTCTCCATGAATCGTTCCTCAAGCTGTACACTTCCTGAAAATCCTCCCATTCGTCATCAACAAATGTAATTTGCCTAACAATTTTGTAGTCATCTGATTCCGAATCGAAACCGAACCCAGTTATACTAACCCACCAATCGGAATCCACAGGCGGGTCGAAAAGGGTAGGCGGCAGAACCTTGGTTTCCGAGGTCTTCGGATTCCAAAGAATCAAACACGGGACGACGGGCAGGTAAAAGCTTTCTTTGGTGGCTAGGCACAGGAGACCATTGCAACATCCTACAACTGACAAATTGGGGTACTCGTCCCCATCGGAGGGTAACTGTAACGACATCCCCGTCGAGGAGGAGGGAAGCAAGGGTTCAAGCGTATCGCAAGAGTAGACTGACCTCAATTCGTTGCCATCGAAGAGTGTAATCAAAGTTCCAGAACAAGAATCCGAATAATTTCCTTCGGTACCGGCAGTTCCGATGAACAGATCATTCTGCCGCAAGAAAGAGGGGTCGGAGAGGAGATCCCGCCATGATTTACAGACGCATCGGCATCGGGCAATGCATGCTGCGATAGGAAGCCTCCGCAAGATGTTCGTCTTCAGCTCCTCCGGAATTTCGTTCATATATACCGGCGGGCCGGCGGCGGCGTTTGGATTTGGTTACTGGTAGTGTGGATTGATTGAGACACTCGCAACAAGGTATTTATGCGAGGTTAGAAAGTGTTTATAACATAAAGACCCATAAACTTTTGGTAATGAAAACTTACTAGCTTTTTACCCGACCCGTTGGTCGGATGAATTTAGTTTTATTTATTATTTTTTATATTAATCTATTTTTTCATATTTTCAAATAATTTGGGATCGTCTAAATAATTTATTAGTGGGTTGAAACTAATATTTGTGCGAATTATTAATTGTAACATTAGTTAGTTTATAAGTATTTGTATTGATCATGCTATCGCTTACTGTTGTCTATATATTTTTTACATTTAAGAAAAAAATCACTTCCTATTGTTAGAATAAATTACTTAAAAAATATTTCTTCATAAAATTTGATATTATTCACTTATTTTTCTATTATATCCATGAAAATAAAATAATGAAGCATTGAAGTATTAATTATAAACTCCAAGGGATTTTTCCTATTAGTAATTTGGAGGGATAAAAATTTATCAAATAAAGGATTCAAATTTTATGGTCGACAACCATTAGGTACTAATTGAGAAAATACAAAATTATTAACTAATAATTCACTTTTAAATAATATATATCTCCAAAAGCAGTTGTGGTTGTTAATAGCTAACATTAATGTATATGGATAGTACAATTGTATTATAATGGACATATCTGAAATATTCCAATTATTTCTTCAAAATTTTAATTAAATAAGGCACTCTATAGTTCAAACATACAATCATTTGTTGTGAAAATTAAGTTTCTGAAAAAGATTCATGATTTTAGGAAATCAATATGGATTTTTTATAATTGATTTTGGTGTTGCCTTTGATATCTAAAACTCAACACTTATAGATTTGTCTACTATGTTATTTGAAAGATTCTAAAAATTTATAACAAATATGTACCACCAACAAATAAAAACTTTTTTGTCAAAAATTTGTGTGCCCATAAATTTGTTCTTAGCTTTGTGCTCGGCTTTTAGCTCAATAGTATAACATATGCTAAATTTACGACAGTCCTTGTGTCTGCCACCTATTTCATAGCATATTAGGTTTCGAGTATCCACAAATATTAGTACGCTTTCAACAATTATGTTTATAGTTACACGTATACTAACATTATGAAGTGAAAATTTACAACAATAAATAAATATAATAAAGAAAATTAATTAAAAAGAATACCATCCGTAAAGCTCAAGAATTATTAGAGAATTAGTTGGTAATCTATTATCCTCTTGCAAAAAAATGGACAATTACATTATGCTCATCGCTATTTTTGGAAGGTCAGATGATCAACAATAAAAGTCGGGGAATTTCAAGAAGATTCCCAAAGATGTTTCCCTCCCTCCAGGCAAATGATCGACTTTGCTTTTGCTAGTAGAGAATGGAGCTGTTATACCTGCATAAAACAATGTCTCTTGAAATAGTGTTTATTTTCAACAACTTGTACAATTCCAAATTGATTCATAGGTCAACGCGATCACATATTTTATTGACTTATCAGTTGATCATTATAATTAGAAGCAACAAATAAAATAAAAAGCATAGTGATAAAGATGACTATTAATACCATAGACCGATAGATGCATCCCTCTTCGCTACTTTCTGTTGGCAACTATGGAAAAATAGAAACCTCTGGGCCTTCGAGAGACTATTGGTGCCGGCAACCCAGTTAGCCTACCAAATCCGGCAAATGCGAGTGCAGATTGATCAATCTTCCAAGAGGATTGGGCAGGTTCTCGGGGAGGCTACAGAGCGGGTGGAAAGGGGAAATAGAATAGGGTTTGGGATTTTCACAAAAAGGCTACAATTTCCCCTTTATTAGTTGTTCTGGGCGTCGCCCACCAAAGTGAAAACGCGTCTCCGATTGCCCAGGTGGTGCCTAGATCAATCGCCCAGAGCTAGACTGGGCGATTTCCTCCTGCCCAGCTATTAATCGCGCCTAGGCGAGAGATTAATCGCGTCTTCTTGAACACTGAATAAAAGTGGACCAAACAAAGACATTACATCCAACTCATTTCAGTTCCATCTTAACACAGTATCGGAGGCATGTACTATTATTATACAAATGATCTTACGCTCTCAATTAGGAACTAAACGAAGGTTAAATGCTTGATTGGCAAACTAAATCGATGAACCTAGTGATCTTAAAGAAAAAATTAATGATCACATGATTTCTTGGACCAAACTACTAAAGGAAAAAAAGAAAAAAGAGACCGTACATTAGCATAAGAACTCAACAAATTACTTATAAGAACTAATGATATAAGGAAAATATAAACTCAAACCGTTCTTCCGAAGGTCATGGATTAAATCATTAGTTGTCGATTACATAGCCTAAACTGCAAGTTATATCCAAAATAGAGGCAATTTAGAAACAAAAAAGTTAGATAAGAAAGCCGTGAAACACAGAAAAATTGAGTGAACAAAGTGGGAAGTATTGCTTTCAATTAAGCTTGATTATGTTGACATAAAGCAGGCACACATTGACGTTGGAAACCTAAACAAAAAGCTTAAAAAGTGGCAAGAGAATTCTTCCCTTGAGGTTCAAATATAGCCTACCTATATGAGTAGAGCCAAGTAATTACCATGATTCCATTTTACACATACCATGATCACATGATTTCTTGGACCAAACTACTAAAGGAAAAAAAGAAAAAAGAAACCGTACATTAGCATAAGAACTCAACAAATTACTTATAAGAACTAATGATATAAGGAAAATGTAAACTCAAACCTTTCTTCCGAAGGTCATGGATTAAATCATTAGTTGTCGATTACATAGCCTAAACTGCAAGTTATATCCAAAATAGAGGCAATTTAGAAACAAAAAAGTTAGATAAGAAAGCCGTGAAACACAGAAAAATTGAGTGAACAAAGTGGGAAGTATTGCTTTCAATTAAGCTTGATTATGTTGACATAAAGCAGGCACACATTGACGTTGGAAACCTAAACAAAAAGATTAAAAAGTGGCAAGAGAATTCTTCCCTTGAGGTTCAAATATAGCCTACCTATATGAGTAGAGCCAAGTAATTACCATGATTCCATTTTACACATACCATCTCACCACCAACTGCTGCTAATGCTCTGGTCCGTTCCAAACCTCACCTGCTCATATCTCCAATACCATATCACGAAACCAAGAATTATACACAACTAAAAGATCCAATAAGGAGAGTAACTTAGCATGGAACTTTGTGATGGGGGCAAATTCATGGTCAGTATGAAGCTGTGCAAATTATATCACCTCTGCAAAGCTCACTACTTCCAGTAGTTTCTCACAGAACCAGCTACCGTCCTTATCCCTTCTTTCCTAGGGTCAGAGTGTGAAAAATGGCGTCCATCTCCGCCACAACCACAGCTTCTTCCTTCATCCATGCATCTCTCCGTCGCAACCCCTCTCTAGGGGTTTCCTCCGCCCCAGTTCTCGGTGAGTACTCTTGACGCCCCCCTCCCCTGAAATTCACAATTACCTCTGGCTTTTATCAATTCAGCTTGGGGGAACCAAGAAATTGAATCGATTGGGTGATATGCAGGGCTGCCGTCGATGGCGAAGAGAGGGAGAGTGGTGAAGTGCTCGGCGGAAGGAAACGGAAGCAACGGCAGCGGGTGGGATAAGAAGGGGATGATGAGCGCTTTCCTGATGGCGGCGGTGGCCGCAGCAGCTGCGTCGACCCAGCGGCGATGGCTCCTCAACGGATGCGAGTAGCTGGAGCGATTTGTAGCGACCTTCTAGAGGCTGAAGCAGAGAAGAAAGAAGAAGCAGGGTTCGTGGCGGCGGGGGAGACGGTGGTGGCGGCGGCAGTAGTTGTGCTCTCGCCGGAAGGGAAAGCCTCGATCGTCGACAACCTCTTCGCCACGGAGATCGTTCGCTGCACTCCCAAACGCGCTCTCCTCAGTCGCAGCAGAAGCGGGCCGTCACTGCTTTCCGTCACTGACCACCAAAACGTTTGGTCGTCTTCCCATGAACTCAGCAACAGCCGGCCGTCAGCGCCTTCCTCCGCTGAACACGAAACCGTGTCGCCTCTTACCAGAATTTTCCGATGGAAACTGATTCTCCTCCTGTCCTGCGGGTCGGCGAAAGGATAACCCAGTAGAAAAGGTGGTATTTCAGCCAAACGAAAATTAAATGAAAAATAAATGATAACTAAATGATAACGTGGGAAACCAGGAGAAAAAGGTGGGTAGTGGACGATTCTTAGTTCTGCAATCGGGCGGGGAGTTCTATTTTTTTCCCGCTCAACACCCTGCCACATCAGCTTCCTAAAATCACTCTATGGACAGGAAAATTTGAATGAGGGTGGCAGTTTTACTTTTCAGCTATAGCCAGATTCTTTTTTATTAGCCAAACTTATCAAATACAAAATTTTAATTATATGCTAACTTTCCTTTCTATGTCTGTTGACTTGGCGTTGACGTGGCGCTGACTCTCTCCCTAATACTCGCCAAATTCCATTAAGAGAAAACAGAGGATGGAACTGAAACATATGTTCAGCAGAGGGGAAAAAGGTAAAGTTACCGTGGAAATCGACGGAAGGAGGAGGTATCCTGAGAGGGTCACAAGAGAGGAGGCAACAACCAACGATCCCGTCGTAGACAGTGTCACTCGCCATGTATGATTCGTGGCAGAGAGAGATTTTGGGATTAGAGGCGATGTAGGATTTGGGATATGTAGGTGAAAATCCATTTAACTTTTCAACGATCTAATAAAGCTTGGGGCGAAAGAAGCTCATGGGAATTTTCAGGGCAATGTAGAAACTTTGTGAGTGAAAAGAGCTCAAACTCATCTACCGCTTCTGTTGGAATTGGCTATTCTAATAGGGTTCCAGTTTTAGAGATGTTTGACTTTCAAAGCTTGTACGGAAATTGAGGTAATTGGTTTGTGGTTATGGGTTAGATGTTTTCCTCTAGTGAAGGGATAAAGGTTGAAGTTTTGAGGCAGAGAAGTGAAAGAAGGTCAGGTTGTCGCTGACCTTGCGGAGGAAGTTGTAGTCAATGGGAAGCTCTCAACTCTCGGTGACCATCTGGGTCTTCAGGATTTGGCTCCGGTTATTGTGGCGGCGATAGATGAAGAAGTAGGAGAAGACGGCGAGGATGATGACAACATTAGGGCCAGCGATGAAGAAGAAGAAGCTTGAGGACACCATCCACCGCATTATCGTTCGTTGGGCAACACCCGATTGTCTCTTTTTTCTTCTGGGGACTTTCTACTGGGTTCCTCCCCACAGATCTAATGCCAGTTGCTGGGGGACTACTGAGGAGAACTCTATAAGCAAAGAAAAGTAAATAAAGGAAAACTCTAACTAAGGGAGCTTCACCCGGGAGTTGCTTCCCCCTAACTAGCTACCATGAATTGTTGGATTGAATGAAGTCGTGTGGCGTAGATGGTTGTGAATCGCGAGGGTGAGCAACTAGTGATCAATCTGTCACGGAATCAATTCACTAGCGATCGATTTGTCACGGGATCGATCCACTCACCAAGTCTAGGGGAACCACTAGGAGGAGCAACTAGTGATCCATTTGTCACGAGATGGATTCACTGGAGGTCGATTTGTCACGAGATCGATCCTCTCACTCGGTTACTAGTGGTTGCCTAGGACTCTCCCTCAAACCGGAGTTTGAGCGGCTTAATCACAACTAACCTAGATGCAAACTGGTAGCTGCGAAGATGCATATGTGGTCGGAGACCACAATCTCAATTGCTAAACCGTGGTAAGCATGAAAGGCCATGGCACTCGGCCCTCTCAGTTTAGACAATTGGTAGTTGACTTACTCTCTGACTCAACTCTAAGGTCGGACGGCTTAATCGCGATTAACCGACTTGCTTAACTCAATATTGAGGGTTGCCCTAACTTAACCTAGTTTAGGTGGCTTAGAAAGCGGAAGGAAAACCAACTCGATTGAGTCTCCCTTGAAAGGGGGATTTTCCTCTCTAAGCTAGGTAAGGTGGCTAATTTGATTTCTAGCACCAACATGCGCAAATCTAAGGGTGCTAAGCACAATTATTCACAACCCTTAGATTGCTAAGCACGAGCATGCACAATCACCATGAAAACACCTCTAATACTCGAATTGATGCAAACTCACACTTAATCATTCAATCTAGACAAGTAATTACAAAGAATTAGTTAGGGTCTACAACACCCAAGAGAAAAGAGTGAGTTTCTAGAGAGAGAGAGAGAGAGAGAGAGGGATTACAAATTTGAGCTCAAGATCTTCTTCTTCTTCTAGGCTTGAATCTTCCACCCAAGTCTCCAATGATGCTCCAAGATCACTCTCTCTCTCTCTCTCTCTCTCTCTCTCTCTCTCTCACACACACACACACACACACACACACACACACACACTAGAACTCCCCTTTGGTGTTTAGGTTGAAACCCTAGAGAAAGAAAGTGTTTCTTCTCCAAAAACCAGCTCTCCTTTCTCTCTCCCCGTTGCTGTCTTCATATTTGCCCGAAAGCGATCAGTTCACGGACGAGTTGGCTAATTCATGGTCGTGAACACCTAAATGCGTCCGTGAACTTTGCATCGTCCAAAACGCATTGCTTGACTATCCTGGGTTCACGGTCAATGGCCACAATTCACGGTCTTAGAGACCGTGAACTGCCTTGTCTTCAGTAACTTCAGGAACCTCGCTGGACGCCTCGGTGTTCACGGTTTTTGGTTGAAGTTCACGGTCTTAGGAGACCGTGAACTGCGGCTGTTTCTTGGACGACTTCAATTCACTACTACGAGGCAATTGTCACGACTTCGGACTTTTCTTTGTTTTTTCGCTTTTTGACCTCCAATTATCCTAAAATTTGACCTCGACCCTTCCACACATGCTAGGACCTGAAACGTATCAAAACAAGCACAACCTAGCGTGAAATATGTTGAGGAACGATGAAATGCTAAGCTAAACGAATAAGAAATGAGGGGTAAAATGTGTACATTTGAGCCCGAATCAGGGATTTTCTCCCTCCTAGGTCAATTTGCCCCAAATTTGAGGGATTCGATAAAAAAACACTCAATTTGCATAAAAAGATCTCAATCAATATATAAATCATAATAACCATCAACACACAGAGTTCACAAGCTACAATCTACAACATCTTAGACTAAGGTTGATAACATCCATGTGAAGAAAGAGGAACTACTCCATAGCTAGAAGAAAAACTACAACTAGAATAGAAAAAAAACTCATGAGAAAGTGATGTTAGTGTTGTGGTATATGATCCACGATTGAACCTCTCACAACAACTCATGTTATTGGGATCAACTGGTTTATGACATGGTATCAGAGCCTTCTGCGCCCGAGAGGTCTTGTGTTCAATTCCCGATGACCCCCATTTGTTAAGCACATGGTATTCTTGTCTTCACACCTGTGCAAACTTCAAGCCCTTGCGAGTGGCTTTCGTTTGAGGGGGCGTGTTATTGTTGTGGTATATGATCCACGATTGAACCTCTCCCAACAACTCGAGTTATTGGGATCAACTGGTTTATGACAAGTGATTCTTCATTTTCCTAGTTTGCATGGATGGATGCTTGGAGATAAAATCTACACTGCAATTGCCTTGGTTAGGTCAAATTCACTTTTAAGTCTTCCTTGCTCGTAGCTCGCTCTAGGTTTGAAGAAAAACTTTAAACTCTCTCTCTAGAAGTCCCTCCAAGAAATATGCTCTCTCTCTCCTTTGTATAGTATGTGAGTGCGCATTTCACGATTGCAAATCATGCCCGTGAAGTGTGCAATGAAACCATGATCTTAGAGCAAAATGCGTTGTTTCATTAACATACTTCACGGGTTTGCTGCTGACTTCACGGTCCATGACCGTGATCCTTGCAATGCCCGCGAACTGCACAAAAGCTCCTAAAACTTTGCGAGCTCCACGGTTTTTATGTCAACATCATGGTTGGTGCTTGTGACAATTCCTGCCAGCCCCGATCCTTGCACTTTTCTCCAGTTTGCTCTTTTTTTTATTCGTTTTGTCCGATTTTCGATCTTGTTGCCTTGCCCGCTAAAATCTGAAACATGCCAAAACGAGACCAAACCTAGAGTAAAATAGCTCTAAGGATGGTGCAAACTAAGTCAAATGGCACAAGGCAAGGAGTGTACAATCTATTCTAAATCAAACTCCCCCCACACTTGAACGTTTGCTTGTCCACAAGCAAACCTACTCAAACCAGTACAACTTGTAGGACAATCACAATGGTATGCACTATCAATCATCGGTGGTGCCTAAAAACAATCAAAGTTGGCTAAACTTTACTTCCATCTTTTCGTGCTAACACACACTTTCGGATGAGGACCTTGTCAACTAAGAAGGTCTAGAAACTTCACTTGTGCATTGGGGGAGTCATAAAAAACGTGTGAAAAATAAAAGACTCCATGGTTGTGCTCCTAGTTTTTCAAAAGAGGGATCAATTTTCCGAACCTCAACTTAAACTTTGCCGTACATGGCACCAAACTTTTTCAATTTGCAAATTAAGGAATCTCTCCATCGAGCTAATAACATAAGTACATTGCCTTCTCTATCAAAGCCTCATGGGGGGAATGTGATGGTTGGATTCATTGCCACAAGCACCACTTCCCACCTGCACTCCTCGTCTCAACAATAGATGAGTTGCCACATATGTGGGTACAAATGAGAGTCGATGTCTCTTTGACCTGCTTAAAAGTACGCTTTATCCTTATCATACAATTTCGTGAAGAGGAGAGGTGTTTGGGGGATGGAAAGTAGTGAATGATTATTGGGAAGCTAGAAAGTTGTCTGCTCCCCTAACACATCCTTAAATGACACTCCGGACTGAGAGAAAGGTCGTTTGATGGCTTAACTTAAACACTATGTCTGGTAATGCATTGCAATAATCTACATTATCATGCTCACTAGAGTGTTTCATGCTATCCACAATAGACAAGGTAATTGTTTCATCCCCTATCATGCCCTAAGTATCTACTTCCCTCCAAGCACATCTATTAGGACCTTGGCAGTGGCCTAAAACAGTCTACCCAAAATAAGGGGCATGTTAACATCTTCGTTGATGTCAAGGATGACAAAATCCACCAGATAAATGAGTGTCTCAACCTTAACAAGTAAATCTTGGATTATCCCCTTAGGGTGCACAGTGGACCTATCAACTAACTGTATGTTCATCCTAGTGGCACTAGGTTCACCTAAGTCTAACTTCTTTAATAGTGTTTATGGCATCACAATGATGCTAGCCCCCTAGGTCCCCCAAGGACTTCCCTATACACATGCCACCAATAAAACAAGGAATAGTGAAACTCCCTAGGTCTTTCTACTATACGATAAGATGACTTTGCAAGATGGTGGAGCATTCTTCATTGAGAGTCACGGTGGCCATGATCTCGAGTTTCTTCTTATTAGCGAGGAGATCCTTCAAGTATTTTGAGGTGGAGCTGGCACGTCAACCTCATGAATCGAGCAAACTCGGCTTCCCATTGATCCTTACAAAGCCGAGTTGGATAAGGGAGTTGGGGAACAACTTCAGCTGTTGGATGTTTTGGAGTAGAAGTAGGTTCCTCTACTCCCTTCTCCGGTGCGTTTGTTGCATTTGGCAGCTTGATGGTGAGTTGGCCTGTCAACTTTCCTTCTCGGGGTAGATACCTCTCTAACCTCCTTTTCACTTTGGAGTGTCACATATTTCATTTTGGTTTCTTTAACTTGATTTCGAGAAATGGCAACTTGAGTGATGATGCCCATTTGAATGGCGTTAAATTTAATTGGTGACTTTGCAACCCTATTTCAATGGATGAAAATATTTCGGAGGCCTCTACCATAAACTTTTCAATCTTTTCTAACTTCTGCGAGCTCGAACTCACAAAGGTGGTCAAAAGATCTTCAAGTTTGGAAATCCTTTCAGGTTGATAAGAAAGAGAAGTTATGGCTTGAAGTGGAGGCTCTTGGTCGGACAATATTACCCTTGTAGAGTTCGGATGGTTGTGCCACCCCGAATTGTACGTATTACTATAAGGATTGTTCTTATTGTTGGCCCTCAGCAATGAAGTGCACTTGCTCTTTCGGAGTAGTTTCCGCCATCATAATTTGATATTCTTTCACTGCATGGTTGGGGCTTGAACACTATTCCCACACCAAAATCGAACTCTTTCCTTTATTACTATCCTTCATTAGTACCTTGATCAACCCATCAATCTTCGCTTCAAGTGAAGGGTTTGGTAGAATGCACTCCCTCCTCACAAATCTTCCTTCCTCACCTCGTCCCCAATCATAGCCATTTACGGCTATTTCTTCAAAAAAACTCCATCATTTGGGATGGAGTCTTGTTAAGCATATTCCCTTGACAAAGGAATCGATGAGCATCCCTTGACACAATGAAAGATACCATTGTAGAAAGTTTCAATCCTGAATTGCTCATCAAAACCATGGTGTGGGCATTGGAGAAAGAGATTGGAGTAGCGCTCCCAAGCATTTCTCAAAGTTTCATAATCTTTTTGAGCAAATTGGTAGATCTTCTTTTGATACTCCGTCGTCTTGGAAAGTGGGAAATACCTTGTCATGAACTTGGTCAACAAGTCATCCTAAGATGTGATTAAGAGTGGAGGTCTATTGTTCAACCAACTTTGTGCCTTGTCACTTAGGGAGAGCCTCAACCTAAGAGCTTATTTTGGCATTCCATTAATCTTCAAACCATCCATCAACTCATAGAACTATTGATGTGCTCCCTTGGAGACTCGTTTTCAAGACCATGATACTAGATGTTGCTTTGGATCATGGTGATGAGACCAGTCTCGATCGCAAATTATTTGCCGCCACAGGAAAATTTCGGATGCTAAGTTGGATGTCCGCCACCCGTGGGGTCATATAATATCCCGTAGTCCTTGCTTCATCCCCCTCTTGTTTGGCTTGGTTCTCTTCAATTGTTAAGTCTAATGGTTGGTCAAAGCCATCACAACTTCTTCTTCAATTTTAACTTTGGGTTCAATGTGAGGTTGAGCCCAAACTACAAGCATACTTCACGAACGTTATTTACAACCGTGAAACGCGCACGCACACACTATATAAAGTGTAAAGAGAGAGCATAGAGCTACGATCAATGAAGAGTTAAATGTGAATTTAACCTACCCAAGGAAATTTAACCTACCCAAGGAATTTAACCTACCCAATATGTGGAGAGAGAGAAAAACCCATGATCTCAAAGCAAAACGCACCATTCCATTAACACACTTCACGGTCCGGGACCGTGATCCTTGCAATGCCCACAAAATGCACAAAAGCTCCAGGAACTTTGCGAGCTTAACGGTTTGCACATCAACATCACAGTTGCTGCCCGTGACAATTCCTGTCATCCCGTGATCCTTGTACTTTTCTCCACTTTGCTCCCTTTCCGATCCCTTTTGTCCGGCTTTGCATCATGTTACCCATTCTACCTACGAAGGTCTGAAACATGCCAAAACAAGACCAAACCTAACATAAAATAGCTCCAAGGACGGTGCAAACCAAGTTAAATAGCACAAGGCAAAGGGTATAGAATCATACAATCTATCCCGAATCATTAGTTATTACCCCCACCTGCAAAAACACAGTCAAACTGGGTGAACAAGTTTCACAATGCAACAATCTCTTTCAAGATTGGCCCTCCTCTTGCATCTCGGTCCTTGCTATTATTGACCTTTCCAAAGAAAACATTTGTATCTTCAATGAAGGTGACTGATGTCCATCCCTTATTAGCACACCAATGAATAACGTCATGCAATGCCAGAAGAGAAACAACAACATTGACTTCTTGTTTTATTTATAAAGTGGTATTGGTTATTCTAAAGTGATATTGGTGTTTTTTTTGAAGTAGTAGTTCTATTTTATGATTTGTTATTGGTTTCTTGTTTATTTTTGTAGTGGTATAGGTTTGGCTGAATGTGAGAATAGAAAGTTTGAGAAGAAGAAGGAAGAGAGGTGGCTGGAGAACTGCTGGAGTTGGAGGGAGAGAGAGAAAATTTCAATTAATATTTATATATAACTTCTAAAATTGCAATTTATTAAAAGGGCCAGTCAATGCAGTCAAAAGCGCGATTCTACCTAAAAGCGGTCGGGTGATCTAGAAGCGTAAAATGGTAAGCTTTTAAGTTTTTAAGCGTAGATTTTGACTACATTTGTAAGGGAAAATCACGATTCTACATAGAAGCGTTTTGGTGAACTAAAAATGTAAAAGCGTAAGCTTTTAAGTTTTAAAGCGCGATTTTGACTGCATTGGGGCCAGTCTATTATACTCCTGGAGTATACTACGCTCCAGGTAATCCAAGTGAGATATCCACATCTAGAGCATGAATTAAAACGAGTTTGTGGTATGATACTGTACCCTAACCTCTAATAGATAATCATAAAACCCAACCTACAATTTTCTAAACCCAAACTCGAAGATCCATTAAATAAAAACTATTAATCGACGACTCTGATTCGTTAAACTAGATGATACATCTAACGATAATATCACTTGGAATATGGTATATTCGTGAAGTAAGACGGTCATTATCTTTATTAAAAAAATAATTAATAAGTTTGTATACCTTGTTTGCTTTTAGTTGTCACGGGGACTACTACTATCAAGTAGTCACCATATTTGGTCCCAAATATTAGTTGTCGTTTTTGGGAAGAGAAGGTAACGGGCAGCGCAAACACTGACTAGGGTCTAATGCGCATGGGACAACATTGAGTTTTGGACCGGTAAGCCTCAAGTTTTCTTACTGCAACAAATCTCGGTTGATTTTGCGCATGATCCTTGGATGCCACAATTTTCTGTTCGATCATGACATATTAGTTAGCCATAGACAACCCCCATGCATTTAATCTTTCTTGAAGCACAAGTCGGTTCTTGTCTCAAAGCGATGGTTCCTACTCTTTCAACTGCTGCACATTCGCCGTTTGGTAGCAAGTATGGACCCAACGAAAATTGACCAAGTAGTTGCTTTAGATGATGAAATCGTCGACATCAACACGGTAAAAGTACATATTTCTCTAGTAGGATGTTTGTTCTCCCCTCATCCTCTGTCTCGTACTGTAATGGAACGGGATTGTCAGCTGGATGTGGGGCTGAATGCACCTTTCATTGTGCGTAAGGCTGACAATGGATTGTGGCGTTTTATCATTGTAGATGTCAATGATATCTCCACGTAAAAAGGAAATATAGTGAAATACAATACTAAATATATACAATTTAATAAATCATAGAGCTTGGCTGGTTATCTTTTGGTCAAATATTGTTTTAATAAGCTAGTTTATTGTGCTTATCAATATGGGGATGTAGCTCAAATGGTAGAGCGCCCGCTTTGCATGCGGGAGGTACAGGGTTCGATCCCCTGCATCTCCAACGATGCCGTTTCTTTTTCCTCCATTGAGATTCATTTTTACAGGAAAGACACATTAGAACGACGTCGCTTTTTCGTTCCTCCATTGAGATTAGCAGTAGTAAGACTGCCGTCGGGCGGTCGGAAGGCTTTTTGGATGGTTCTGTTCAAGTAAGCTTCTCCTTCCGTCGTTTCTCTTCATGTAACTGAAACTCAGACAGATTGATTCCTAGCGTCACCGGAATCTTGGTTCTGTCCCTTTTGTCGTTTAATTTTGGGATTCCGGTGGGACAGCTGCTACCATCCGCCGCCTTCTCTTGGAAGTTTCGAGAGGCGGAATTAAGACGCTCGAAGCTTGACGAAGTTGCCAAGATGACCGGAAAATTGTTGGTAGATAGGGTTCTAGCACTGAAGAGTTCCTCCCAATCGAAACTTCGCTTCCAGCTTCTTAGGGCTTCCTTATCCCACCATTTCACCATGACTCCGCCTTCTCCATTACCATCGGCCAGCAGAACTAGGTTTGTCTCTACCATCTCCTAACTCAACTGTGCATCTGTTAAAGTCAATATGGCTTTTATCTTCTCCTACAACATGCTTTGGCTTTAGGTTCTTGGAAGATTGAGAACTTGCAGAACTCAGAAGTCCCCTTTCTTTCATTGATTTGAAAATTTTAACTCCAACCCATGTAGTTTGTGAAGCTCTAGAAGTGCTTTTGATGGTATATTAGAGTGCTTGAAGAATCATTTGGTTTGATTGACCCACCTGAAATATCCGATTTCATTGAAATCTTGGCTCTTACTTGAGCAGCTTGGTTGATATTGTGTGCAAGGCTGGTGTTCAGAAACCTGCTACCAACCCTGTCCACGGTATTCAACTGTGGACTGCGTGGATTCATTCGACCCCACCTCTGGGCAGTGTCAACCAATCTGAAACTGCTGTGCCTGTTGATGGGGCTAGCAATGCCAATGTGAAGAGGAAAAAACTGAAAGGAAAGAGAGCAGTTGTTAGGTGGTTAAAGTACTTCAGATGGAAGAAGAAGAAAGATTATGAGAGAATGACATCAGAAGAAAAGATCCTTTATAAGTTAACGAAGGTAAAACTGAATAGAGGTTTTTATTATGAACTGCAGCCTTTTTCAATCCACTTGTTTCAGTTTGTGTATTATGGGTTGTAATCTCGAATTTCTCACAGGCTCGTAGAAAGGAGGAAAGGCTGATCACTGCCTTGAAGAAGATCGAACCTTCAGAATCATCGGAAGCAACCCATGATCCCGAGATATTGACCCCAGAAGAACATTTCTTCTTCTTGAAGATGGGGATCAAGTGCAAGAATTATGTCCCTGTTGGAAGACGAGGGATATACCAAGGCGTCATACTCAACATGCATTTGCACTGGAAGAAGCATCAGACACTCCAGGTGATTGTCAAGACATTTCCACCAGACGAGGTCAAGGAGATTGCCACTGAGCTGGCACGATTATCAGGAGGTATTGTGCTGGATATTCACCAAGGAAATACGATTATCATGTACAGAGGCAAGAACTATGTGCAGCCCCCTACAGAGATCATGTCACCCAGGGTCACTCTCCCCAGAAAGAAGGTTTGTATTTCTCCACCTGCTTTTGCATTTACTGTCCTTCATGAATAAGCTCGTCGTGAAGTGTGGAACTTATTGTTTGCATTTAGAAATCAATGATAGGTCGTTGGTCGTTCAGAGTATTAGGAGGCCAAATTTGCAATAAAATGCAAATGAATAAACATATTGACTTCCGTGTACAGAGACAAGAACTACGTGCATCACAATCTCAAACGCACTCAAACAATACGAAGAGTCGATAAAGACGATATGTTTATTCATTGGTATTCACCTTGAATTCCAAATGCATTAAAATGATGTAGTCTCGGTTTTTTTTTTGGGGGGGGGGGGGGGGGTTGAAGTTTTTGAGAACTGGACTTTTTCAATCGAAAACAAGAGCAGGTTCTGGTTTCTCCTGTGTTTTTTATTTTTATTTTTGAGTGATTCTCATGGTCTTCTGCTCCCTTTTGTCTATAGGCACTTGACAAGTCCAAGTACAAAGATGCCCTCCGAGGGGTTAGAAGGCAGATTCCAAGGCTTGAACAGGAGCTTGATTTGCTTCGTGTTCAGGGCAAGGTCAAACCGCGAAACCAGGCTAATGCTGTTGATCATGAAGCTGATGAGGCTCGCATAGCTGATACAGAAAATGAAAGCCTTTCAAGCGGACCACTGGAAGGTTCGAGCAAACTCAAACAACTTCTAGATGATGCGAAGGAAACATATAATGATGATTCAGATACGGATGATGAAATGATATCAGATTCAGAAGATCTGTCAGACATCTTTGAGACTGATTCTGGGACGGAGATGGATGAAGAGAAGGATGAACGGCCCTTATACTTGGATCAGTTTGAAAAGTTCCCGGTTCAAGATGATGGAGAGCCTGAAGATTTTGAAGAGTATTTAAAGAAGGCATCTGGAGACTCCAAAGGTGGAGATTCACCAACTTTTGATGAGGTCGACCGTATGTTCATACGTGCAGCCTCTCTGTTAAGGAAAAATAGGAGGCACAACTAATAAGCCGGCGTGCTGCCTTACTCTGAGACTTAATGTGGTATATCTTGACATCTCGAATGCCATTTTCTCCAAGGTAAACTAAATCGCTGAACAATCGACATGTAGTTGGTGCAATTTACTGCCTGCCAACAGGCAAAACAAGATGAACAAATAACATTATGGAGGCAGCGCCATTGTTTGGGTGGCCTCTACAAATTACAGGTACTAGTATGTTAGGGAGTGAGATCACAACATGGTTTCTGTGTTCTCTCTTGACGCTAACTATATAATTTTATCTAGATAATGACATCTGTTGATGCTTAACTGTATGATCGTATCTGTTATATTTGCTTGTGAAACTAGCTTCATTTCTACTTCTCCCCAGGGAAAGTATAAATGGGTAATTTCTGCAATGCCCCAACGCTCTGATATGGTAAATGTTTAGTCACGGAGATTACTAAAAAAATTGTTAAGTTTGGTCATTAAAAGTATTTGATTTCCATACGTGGTCAATGAAATTACTAAAAAATGTCTACTTTGGTCACTCTTCGTTGAACTTCGTTAATCTTTGCTTATATGCAGTTAACTCTTTAAGTTGACTGTTAAATACATGACAAAGCAATTAAAAAATTTAAAATTAATAAATTTAAAATTTCGAAACTTCCACCTCATACCATACTAGGGGTGGGCAACCGGTTCGGTAAACCCGAACCGAAACCGAATTAAACCAAACCGACACCGAAATAATGCTATTCGGTTCGGAAGGAAAATATGGATATTTTGGAAACCAGGGTTCTTTGAACCGAACCGAAATTTCGAATTTCCGATCGAAATACAATAATTGTTTTTATTGCAAGCTCCAAATTGTGGATTTTTATGTTTGTAGTTGTTTTTATACTTAAATATTTGAAATATTTTATGACTTATGTGTTGAAAAGTTTGATTTTATCAATGATGTTGCATATAATTGCATATTATTGTTTACATTAGGGTGAAAAATAATTTAAAAGTGAGAAGATACAAGTAGCCTCTCAAATTCGGTTTTGCACACAAAACCGAACCGAATTATAATTCGGTTTAAACCGACCGAACTATAAAACCGATCGAACCGAATTATAATTTGGTTCGAATTCGGTTTGAGGTTTGAGAGACTTCGGGGACCCGGTATTCATAATTTCAGTTCGGTCGAAATCGAACCGACCGAATGCCCACCCCTATTAACCATACCGCTCCCCCTTTCCTTTTTCCTTTCTCTTTCTTCCTTGCTTTCAATTTCTCCGGTAGAGCTCAAAATTAAAAAAAAATTGAACCAACACAAAATTAAAAAAAATTGATTTGGTGATACAACGAATACAACATAAGGTAGGGCTGGGAATCTAGACCAAATCGTATGGGAAATCGTGGTCTAGACCGTATCGTATGGTTTGGCATGGACCGCGAGACCAGAACTATGGTCTGGTTTGCGGTCTCCTTCTTTAGTGCGTGGTCTGAAGTGGTCTGGACCACAGTAAACCGTAACAGACCGCGACATATCAGCTACTAACTCGGATAAAAATAACACTAAATTGAACCTCCATTTGTGTATTTGAATAACAAAGTTAGTTGATTCTTCATCTAGTTGAGAGCCAACAAATTGCCAAATGATCGCTTATGTGTTATCTCCTTATCAAAAAACCACTCAAAAACCAGAAAGACTCATAAATAATATTCACAGACAATGTCTAGACTATGTAGTCGATAAAAATTAAATGATAGAAAAAAATTTGTTCACCTTGATGAGATAAGAAAAATTATTGAGAGATATGTGACCATCTTAGTGGTTCAAAATTACTGCAACGTCATCACAAAATTTATCAACCGGGAGAACCTTCAGAACACTCGAGAGAGGAGAGAAGCGTTAGCACAAAGAGGAATAGGGAAACAAGGCTATTTGATGTGTGTGTTTGAAAATTGAAAAAACCCACTTCTATCCTCATATTTCTTCTCATTTAATTATGATCACAATTTTTTTGTTTCAATAGCATATTGGTCACTAGAATTTTTATTTTTGTAGATACCGACGAAGGGTTGGAGGGCGAACAAGAGTTAATTTTTTTAACATGATCTGTCTGGTCCAGACCATACCGGACCGCACCGCACAAGTGTGGTATGGTCTGGACCGTATAGTATATGGTCTGGTCCATGGTCTGTATTCCAACCTCTCGGTCTGGACTGCACCGTTTCCCACCCCTAACATAAGGACACAAAATATAAATTTGGTGTCGGTTAAGTGAACCTAACCAACACAATCGACGGAAAATGACAATTTTCTTGTAGTGTAAGATTCTTTTCATAGTTCATGATTTCAGACTTGGAGTTTAGGGTCAGGGTTGTTAGAACCAGACGAGAAATCAACAATGTAAGAAAGTAAAAAGCACATAGATTTACGTGATTCACTAACACTATATATCTTAACTACGTCACCATACAAAAGAGACTAGTTTCACTATACTTGACTAGGGTACCACTTATGATGGGGATGAGATGTATTTATAACACCTTCTTCAATAGGACCAAAATATAAAAGCATATTTTGTATGATCCCAGCGAGACCGCTGTGATTTTCATTCGACGGCAGAAAACCATGCTTCAAATCACACGAACAAGGTTTATTCATCATAGTTTAGGGCTTTTGTCATGGTTTAGGGTGTTTGTTATACTAAATTTGCATTTATCAATTAATATGACAAACTCGATCGTAGGCATAAATATCAACTAGCATATAATGTGACAAACCTATTATTTTGTCACAACATACATTTTATGTTTGCCATCACAACTTCCCGTCAATTCATACATATTATTTGTATATTTACAAGTTTATATGATCGAATTTTGTTTGTCATGATAGAAACAAAAATGTTAAATATTAGAGTGCGCCTATGATGCCTTGCAAGTCACCGTAACTTGCACAATTCGGTCGACCTATGCATAATTTAGGTCGACCAAATTCACTATCGTGGTCACTCGAATGAAACGTTATGGTCGACCATTAATATATAGTGGTCGACCATTTTAAGTTAGTTGATAAGTTAATGGTCGACCACAAGTCCACAATAAAATTTTGGTCGACAATGTAATCAGAATCAAAACGGTGGCCCATAAATGTAACGAGGTCGACCACTTGATGGCAGTCATCATCGAAATGGTCGACCATTTACAACAAGGGGTCGACCAGATCAAAAGTCAGAAGTACTATCTATTCATCCATCCCCTTCACGTGAAACGTAGATTAAAAGTGTTGGTCTCGCGGCTGACCTCATATATTAACAGGTCGATCTCGTATAGGAAAATCAGTCTATGACCTTCGAGTTTTTTGCTTATGTATGTCGATGTGTGTGTTCGTTTTCTCGTACAAATTACGTTTGAAACCAACAGAATCAGTCCTCAATCATCATAGCAAGAAACCATAACTTCATCACATAACAACTTAACACCTCATAATTGTTAACACATACCTAAAATCGAAAACCACATAATATCATTCCACCATCATAGTTGATTCAAACCAAATCGTCTTAAAGACTTAACAACAAAAGAACACAATCTAAAATAATGTAGTTTCTAAACATCTCCCCTCTCTCACTCATTCACATTTTCCTCATTGGTGGTGCTAGCATTATGGTAGTCGGATGTGGTGGGATGCATGTATCTTTCATCGAAAGATCGAAATTCATCTCGCATCTCTGTTACCGTCACTTGTAGTGTGCTCATCTGGCTGGTCATCTGCCCCATATAGTTGTATATGTCAGTCATCTGTGTGGACATCTTCCCCATGTAGTCGTACATGCCATTCATGTGGTCTCATATATGGTCTAGGGTGACTGGCGGAGCTAAACTCTAGGGCTGCGTCATTGGCTCGTCTCCGGACTCCTCCTCATCATCATCAGCAGCAGCAACATCATCATCATCATGGACTACATGAGGATTGTATGCTCGGACATACATACCATCATGCATCTCAAATCCCATCTTCTTCAGGGATGTAACTGTGTAGAACTCCTGCCTTGTGACTTTTAAGCCAACCTCTTCACTTAAATTCACACTAAAATGCTCAAATAGCAAAGTCAGGATCATCCCATAGGGAAGATTCCCGTTTGAACTCTCTGCAACAACAAGCATGTGTTTAAAGATCTAGTATGGCAAGTTCACATTCTCATGTGAAAGTAGGTTGGCAAGGAGCTCCATATCAAAGTAGCTTATTGCCTCCCGATGTCCACCCTTTGGAAGAATGTTGTAGGAGAGCATGTGGTGAAGAAATCTGGCTTGAACTATCAGCTGGCGAATAGTTAGCCTGCTACGATCCTAAACATCTTCCTCTTCAGGAAGACCACATACAGTCTGAATTTTCCTGGCTTTCGAGAAATGAGTTTCATTCTAAGCATTGTAAGAATCGATTCTCTTCCGCTGGTTTGGAGTCTCCAGTACTGCTGCCAGCACACTCTTGTTGATACGCATCTCCACCCCATTCACATATCTTTTAAAATAATGAATTAATCCATTTGCAGAACGCTGATAGACGATGTTGTTGTAGAAGTACTGTACCAGTTTTGGGTAGTATGGTATATTGAGAGATATCACCTTCAGCCAATCTTGTTCCACAAATGATGCCATGAACTCGTAATCTTCTAAATGAGCATACGCATCAGTCGTCAATGGCCTTCCAAGAGCCACCCTGCGGTTGTTCATTCTCCTCTCTTCATATTTGTCACTTTGCTCCTTGGTCCGGAACAGAGTTGGGTTGAACTCTTCCCATTCAGAACTTGAGGCACCCAATTTCTCTGACTTTCTTTTCTTCTTTTCTCGAAACATCCTATTATCAAAGACGTGACAATTCATGTTAACCAAATGACGAAACCAAAAATACTTCGTCGACCTGTCTAGAAACAGTTTGACCTATACTCTGCATGCATCGACAAAATCAAACAAAATTGGTCGACCTCAAACAAAATAGGTCGACCTTTGTTTGCAAGAAATTTCAAAAACATCAAAAAATTATTCCAATTTGCTAGTATCATGAAACCAAACATTATAGGTAGACCTGACAGTATATAGGTCGACCAATTATTGCAAGCAGAAGCAAAATCAACCAAAAATTACTCCATCTTGCTAACATCGACGAAACCGAATGAAATAGGTCGACCTCATCTAGAACAAGGTCGACCTTTTTTTTGCAAACAGAATCTGAAAATTGCCATAACTTCTGCATCAATCTACGAAACCAAACATCATCGGTCGACCTCAAGCATACTAGGTCAACCTTTGTTTGCAAGCAAAAGCAAAAACCATAAAAAAATTATTCCAATTTGCTAGTATCA